AGCAAGAACTAAAGAGCACAAGAATACCAAGACTGGGATGACATGTGGAGTGTGAGTACTAGGTACTCTATTTGGATATTGACATGTCCCCAACAGTAAAGATATGCAAATAATTCCAAAGATTTTCTTCCCTTAGATGTCTTTCTCCCCCTGAATCTGACATGGGATAATGGGAGTAGAAAGGATAGCAGAAAATTAGAGCAAACAAGAAAATAACCAGAGCAGATAAAGTCATAACATACCATATACCATCATGTATTTCCCCTCTTGAAGACATGAGACAACTTTCCTCTTAAGAGTAAGAGCATCATGAGAAGCTTTTATGAGCACATTCTCTCTTATGTGATAAGCTTTGATGTGCTCTCTCTCCCCCTTTGACATCAATTTCCAAGAAGGGACTTCTGGAGCATGAGTCAAGTAGGTTTGGTCCTGCTTCGGCGTGTGAGGGCGGCAGTACCCGCCTCCTTCTCCGCCTGCTCTGGCGCGTCCGAGCAGCCCGCCTCCTCCTTCGCCTCATCGGCGACAGTGGAACACAGACGCCGCCGCTCCGGCTGCTCCGACGTGTCGTACCACTCCACCTCCTTCTTCTCCATCTCGTAAGCAACGAAAGAAGACATTCGCTGCCGCTCCGGCTTCTCCGGTGTCTAGCAGTACAGCCAGAGGCGGGACGCAATACAGATTTGGTCCTTCCCTCAAGCCTCTAGAGAAGTTACCATACGAGATGAGCGAGGAGGAAAACAAGAAGATCTGTGAAGCCCAAGTGAAGGACTTATTTGAAATGACAAAAGCTAAGAAACATCCACCTCCGGAGGAGAAGATAGATCTGGTGAAAGCAAAGCGCACTTTGGATGCCCTGAAGCAAGCATCACCGCCTCCACCGCGAACCAACTACGGCGCATTATTGAAAGGACATATAAGGAAGCGGAGCGGTCAGGAAGTACTTGCATTGATCAAAGGTTAGCAGAACGAATAAGTGGGAAAAAAATTCCCCAGCTCGGCGAACAAGCGAAGCAATCGTGCCCCCCACTCAAGGTGTATAGCGATATCGTTGCTAAACTTTCGGGGATGGTGCCCGATACCAATCTAGGAGATTACATGCCCAACAATGCACTTTTTGATACAATGGAGGTGGACACATTCAAATTCCGGCACGGGAAGCCTCTCGTGAAACCTGGTCATCCTCCACTAACAACGATGATGCGAAGATTCCATGATTGGTACATGGACATCTGCAGCAAGTCTGGGAAGGATACTTTGACGCTGAGAGTTAAAGAGGAGCACGACCTCGTTGGAATTGCTCTGTTGTCTGTTCCATATAAGGAGATCTTCCAGGTTTTCAATTAAAAGGCCCTCGACAAAGTAATCATCACTTGCTACTGTCTGTAAGTACTTCTTCTGTAATTAAGTATCTATATATAGCTCAGCTCTTTCATTGCATGTATATATAATTGTCCTCACTATATTATGCAGATTGAAGATCACCCGAATTGAAGAAAAGACAAATCGGTGATATTGGGTTCATTGACACAAATCTCATAGATGAATGGAATGTTAAACATGATGCCAAACAAAGCGAGGCCAACTTTCTACGATCGTTACTTCAAAATCAAAACAAAGATACAATACTCTTTCCTTACGAATTCAAGTGAGTGTTACTATCTTGTGCATATTCAGTTTCCCTTATTACTCGAGGTTATAGTAATGTAATTGATGAGTCATGCATGTGTGTGCAGCTTCCACTTTATTCTACTAGAGATTAAGCTTGAGCAGGGACTAGTAACCGTCATAGACTCGAAACAAAAAATCCCGAGGAGTATGCGACCATGACTAAAATGCTCGAGAAGTAAGTTCAGTCGATCATTATCGCACCATATAGGCAACTTCGTTCATTTCCTGATATCAAGTAATTGTTTTCTTTGTCTGGCAGGGTTTGGAAAAAGTTCACCACAGAAGCTCCGGAATTGTCGGCAGAGCTGCGATTTAAACACCCGAAAGTAAGTACTACTACCTAGTTCCACGCATCTCCCATTGATTCTAGCTAGTTTCATCAATACCATTTAGCATGTTTGCTTATCAGTTTGATTGACCTCTATTTCTTGTAAAGTGGTTGTGGCAGGATCCCGGGGATAATTACTGTGGATACTACATTTGCGAGTTCATCCGCCACACGACCTGTGAGCGGGGCTACTCTAAAAAAACAATATGAAGTGCGTAAGCAATAATATTCACAATTTTATTTTTATTACCATCATTTGTGTTGAGTTTCACTCATATATATGTATTGACCCTCTTCTTCAAATTAGATGTTTCAGATGCGGGATGAACTCCTACCACAAGATCGCATACGAGCAATTCAAGATGAATTGGCGGGATTCTTTCTTGACCACGTCATTGATAAAGACGGAGAATACCATGTAGAAATTGAGTTCAGATGTTAGGGGATTGTAAGAGATCTTATATTGTATATATGTAGCCAGTAGCGTTGGATAGATATACGAAAACTTGTTGTTCGATCAATCTCTCAGAGAAGGAGAGGTCGATCACTTCTCTCTGTATATGTTCATGACGATCTTCTGTACTTAATGGTTTCCTTCATTTGCTTACTAGCTAGCTAGTGTGTCGAGTCCTCTCTATATGTACAGTACGTAGCGTCGACCAAGCACAGAGATAAGAGAGGACACTTCTGTTTATTAGCTAGTTAACACAATATATGGAACCCCTAAATTAACCCTACAAAACCCCCACCCACCCCCCTCCCCTTCCAAAAAAAACCCAACACCTAAACTGCTGACGCGTGGATGTCTTTTGGTCCCGGTTGGTGCCACCAACCGAGACAAAAGGCCCAATCTGTCCCGGTTCGTAGGCGAACTGGGATTAAAGGTATTGGGTTTTAATGCCGACACTTTAGTCCCGGTTCGGGAATCGAGACAAATGGACCTTAAGAACCGGGACAAATGTGCCTTTTTCTACTAGTGTAATTGATTAAACTTCCTACCTACAGAAACACATATAGGTTCCCGAGGTGTATGTGCGTTGCTTTGTCAACACAACTGAGGAGGCGTACCATGATGAGGTCACTGAGGAAACTATTGCCATCTTTCTCTGTTAGAGATATGACGGGCAAATCAAACGACGAATAACGAAATCAACATAGAAGAGACACAATTTTAACAGTTTTGCTAGAACTCATTTAGATGAGATATAATTTGGTCTCATTCACCTTTTATAGCCATTGGATGTGATGCTATAAGATGCGTGTGTGCTGACGTGGGTTATATCTGCTCTTGTTTTCAAAGTGAATGAGACCAAATTATATCTCATCTAGATGAGTTCTAGGTACTCCCCAATTTTAATGTGAAAAACCCCTCCAACACGAAGTGGAAAAAACCACAGGCGCCAGTCATCAAATCTTCACTATATCAGGGAAGGTTACAAACGCCGGAGATTTACAACCGATCAACTTTTCCCATGCGGCGGCTTACAAAGGATATATATATAACACAGGTGACCTAGGTCAATATTGATCTGTGTTTATACTTGAATTTATATTTGTGTCGGCCTAAGCCTACCGGCGACGGGCCTCACTCGCTCGCTTGTCAGAAATTAGCCTTTATCTTTATACTTGAATTTGGATCACAACATAACATTCTCACTGCTCTCGAAGGTGTGGCTGCGATGAGCCACTTCAATTCATGCATGATTAAAGATACTCTAGCCAATTTTGGTGAAGATCTAGATAGGGGTCGGTAATCTAACATTTTTAGATATGGCCCGGTTGGAGTACATGAGGGAAATTGCACAATCTAGATGAGACGGCTCCGCTAAATGACGTGGATAGGTTAGGTATAAATTTATGTTTGTTTGTCCGATCCTCATTTATGTTTTGTATAATACTACCGTACTAAAATTTTGGGCATGGTCTTCGTGAGGAATACAGTGACTGATGCAGTGACATTTACGGAGCTCTTTGTTACATTGAGGATTACTCATCACAAAATTGCGCTACTAGGCCTTATCCCAAGAAAATATTATCTTCATGTACTCCCTCTGTCTCGAAATACTTGTCAAAAAAATAGATACAAATGAATGTATCTAAAACTAAAATAGTACATCTATATACATTCAATTTCGGGACAAATATTTTCGAACGGATGGAGTATGATTTTGAGCCGTCACGCACATCGGTTCTGTTGATTTTAATTTTACCCTCCCTTGCATTTCAGCAGGTGTCACCAAGGCAGAGCGGCAACAGTTTGATGACAAGCCATATTTATCATCTATAGACAAGCCCAACCATACATCATCAAAATTGTTCAGCCGCTGGATTTGCTAGCTTGTCCATTATCATCCGTCCGATCTAGACATGAGCCTCCCTATATATTACTACCATGCAACATGCATTAGTGTGTTTCAAGTGGATTTTAAATCCGATCACAATTAATTAGCTATGAAATTTTCAACCTTTTAAGTTAAGATGTTCTTTTTGTAGTAGAAATTTCCAACACATTTCGTATCTTAAGTAATGAATTCATGGCAGCGGTACGAAATGTGTCGGAAATCAAATTTCGTATCTTAAGATGCAAAATGTTCCTTGGGGGACATCCGATCCGATATCTTAAGATACAAAATTTATGCAGCCGCATACGACAATGAGAAATCAAATCTCCCATTCGTGGCAGGCAACGCATGAGTATGGCTAGTTGATATAGTACTCCCTCTGTTCCGAATTACTTGTCTCGAAAATGAATGTATCTAAAACTAAAATACGTCTAGATACATCCATTCTCACGATAAGTAATTCCGAACGGAGGGGGTACAAAAGAAGAAGAGAGAGAAAACTTCAGACGTACGAAATGCCCTACATATTTTCCAGGGTATGATAGCCCTATATATTTTTGAAAACAATCCATGCATGGTGTAATCAAGCCCCGCTATATATCTATCTACAGTTTCATGGGCTCACGTAGGTACGTGTATCACATACATTTGCACAATGCATGTCATGTAGGAGTAATGGAGAAGCCGGTGTTGGTGCAGTTTCCAGCAAGGTCGGAGGAGGACGTGGACAATAATGAGGATCTCTTACCGTGCCTGCCGGCAGCGAGCGGCGCGACGGGCTGGTGGCCTGCGAAGAGGGAGACATGGCCGGCGAGCTTGTCTTTGCGGGAGAAAGTGGTGCCGCAGGAGCATATCCAGCGGTGGTCGCCGCAGTGCTTCTCGTGGGTGCGGAGGTCGGAGAGGACGGAGAAGTGCTTGCCGTTGCAGCGGTTGCAGACGTACATCTTGGGGCAGTGGCTGCGCTTGTAGTGGTTCTTGACGCAGATCACCGACTTGAGTGGCTGGAACTTGGCGTGCCTCCGGTTCCACCGGCAGCCGTCCTGCGGGCACGAGTACTTGTTCCTTCTCCCCGCGGCGTCCACCGCCGCATCGTAGCCGGAGGGCCCGAACAACCTGGTGGTTGGGTTGGCGAGCGCCGCCTTGCTCTTGTACTCGTCGCCGTGCGCGCGCATGTGCATGCGCAGGTTGGCGTCGCGCTTGAACCCCTTGCCGCACACCTGGCAGTAGTGCGTGTACTTGGCCAGCAGCTCGGCCGCGTCTAACTCGATGATCGTCGTGTCCACCGCCGAGTCCGTCGTCGCTTGCGTCGACGATGACACGGCGGCCGCCTCTGCGGACTTTCCAGGGATGTCGTGGCCGCCACCATGGTGGTGCTGCTGCTGCCACTGCCGCATGGCATCGACCATGGCCTCCTGGTCATCATCCGCTAGGCCGTTCTTTGCATGGCCGTCGACCACATCCTCCGGCGTGGCCGCGTTATTAACGGATTTTGTCAACGCGCCGAGGCCGTAAGGGTGCTGCAGGGCGTACAACATGGATGTAGCCACGGCGATGATCTCCTGGACGACGGCGCTGGCTCCGGGCACCACGGGGTCGACGACGTGGCCGTGGCCGCGACCGACCGCGAGGCCGACGAGCGGCTCCAGCTGATGTACCTTGTCCTTGAGCACGGACAGGTTGTACAGCAGGGTGCATGTGCTGCGGTGGGTGTCGGGCACCGCCAGCGCCAACCCGCCGTCTCCGGGGAAGGCGGCGTCCTCTCCAATGCCATTGATTCCATGGAACCGCTGCTGCTGACTTTGTGGGAAGTATGGGCTTGCACCGGCATCTGGGAACATCATCTCGCTAACCCTATCCTATATTGAGCAACAATATGTATATGATCTGCACAAACTCAACAGGAATTCAACAAGTAGCTAGCTAGGGAAGAAGAGATGAATAGGGATCGATGGGGAAGATGGAACTAGAAGAGGGGAAAGGGCAAGTCAACTGGGGCTGCGCACTTGGCAACATCCCTACTTGGAACCTACCTCGAATGGAACCGGACCAGAACTCACACTGCACCACATATGTCATAGGTATAATATATACTACTCCCTCCCTCCGTTCCTAAATATAAGTCCTTGTAAAGATTCCACTATAAACCACATAACGGATGTATATATATGCATTTTAGAGTGTAGATTCACTTACTTTGCTCCGTATGTAGTCCATAATGAAATGTTTACAAAGACTTATATTTAAGAACGGGGGGAGTACTACTTAAGTTTATTTTTTGTGAAGAATATACTATCTTCTCTGTTCCAAATTACAAGATGTTTTTTGATATTTTTATATGGAGTACAAACGGACTAAAACGAGTAAACAAATACACTAAAACACGTCTATATACATTTGATTCAGAAAATCCGATTTAGAAAAAAATAGTAGATCTTATAATTTGGAAAAGAATAGTTATGTTTCTACCCCTCTGAACCGAAGTACTGCAGCTTCAATAAAAAAATATGTATGGCCAAGTAGACGAATTGTTGGTTTATTTTACTCCAATAATGGTCTGGATGCCACTGTTTTCTAGGGTTGATCTTATTTTCTTGTAGAAGGGTGACCCTTTTGAGGAAATATTGTAAGGAGCAGCTCAGCAAGAATCTATCAAGGGCACACGCTCAGCTTGCATGTGTCGAGATCTGACTGCCCAGTAGGGCCTCCGTAAGACCCACAGGCTTTGGCTTCAAAAGAAAAAAGAAAAACACATAATTATGCACAGTGGCTTTGGCTTCAAAAGAAAAAACATAAAAATGAAATATTGTTAGACAATAAACACATAACTAATCTTCATCAAAGTAAATTATTCTGTTTTGGAGAAGCTAGTGAGGCGATGGCTGATTGTGCTGACCTATTTGGTTGTGCGCAAGGTCAATTCCCGATTAAATATTTATGAATATCAATTCATTGTCAACATCTCACTAATACGGAGTGGAAATATATAGAGGAGCGTTTAGAGAAGCGGTTGACTAGTCTTGATCAACTCCGTCCTTACAAATATGGTTTTCTATATGTTTTCTTTTTTTTTCAACTCCCAAAAGGGTTCTTGTGGAGGCTGGATTATTTCATATCTAGATTCTTTTGGCAAGGAGAGAACAAAAACAAAAAGTACAGGCAGGCTAATTGAAGCGTGGTTTGTAAGCCAAAAGACTAAGGTGTATTTGGCATTCAAATTAATAATGATGTCTTACTTAGTAAATGGTTGTTCAAACCACTTACTGAGGATGGTGTTTGGCAAACTCTGCTTCGCAATAAGTATCTAGGCCATAAATTTTTGTCCGAAACTTGGTGACTTGCACTTTTGGGCTGGTCTATTGGCTGCGAAGAAACATTTTTTTCACTTTGGATCCTTTACGATAAAAGACGGGTCGGAAATTCGTTTTTGGGACAACATTTAGCTAGGCCTTGCCAGCCTCTAAGCACAATATCCAGCTTTGTACCTCATTGTTTGTAATAAGAATGATACTCTTGCGAATGTGCATATTCATTCCTGCTGAATATTTCTTTCGGGCGGGACTTAATTGGCATTAGTCTTATGTCGATGCAAAATCTGTCATTACAATTGGAATCGATTAACACGACACAAGGACGGAATGTATTTTGCTTGAATCTCACTATATTTGGGTCTTTCACAGTCGACTCTATGTAATGTGCGCTCACACATTCAATGGTCCCAATGGATGATAACAAAAAAAATTAAATGCCAAAGATTCCACTAAAAGTTAAAATCTTTCGGTGGTATCTTCTAAGGGAAGTTGTGCTAACCACAGTCCACCAAATGTTGAGAATTTGTCGATTGTGACGAGGATAGAGTAGGATCCACCAAAGTGGGGCAGTCCTCTACCGACCGCTTTGCCGAGCATCGCGCTCGGCCAGGCCAATTTTACACTGGGCTGCCCCCAATAATGCCAGACTTACATAACTGGCCTTACGTATTATACGGTTTCTTTTAGTGGTGTAGTACCCCAGCACGTCAAATTACAATATTTCTAGGGAATAGGGATACATATATAAGCCCTCGGACTGATCTAAAAGCCAAATATATCGACCAATATTACTCCGGAGCGATGATCGGGCGAGCCTGTGGGCTTCAAAGTTTGAAATCCACTTCCCATGGCCGAACTCAACCCCGTCAAACTACGCACCTCTAGCCTTAATCTTCTGCGAGGTATGATAGTACACTGATTTGGATCCCTCCTTCAGCGTGTTGATAACTTTGAGGCAGTCTGAAGCTATTTTAATTCTTCGGGCAGGTCATGTGCCAATGTGTCGGGGAAGCTGATCCACGAACACCTATGGGACCGGCGGACCGAGCACCTTTCGGTTCGGCGGGGGGCAGAGATCACACGAAGAGCGGATTGAGACGGAGCACACGAGCAATTTACCCAGCTTCGGAGCTCTCCGGAGAGATAACACTCCTACTGCTGCATGTCTGAGTGTATTGAGTTCTTACTCGGGAGCGCTGAATGCTACAGAACACCTCGGCCGCTAACGAGACCGAGCGTGTGTGTTATTCTGGCTTCCGAACCGAACCGAACCTCCGAACCTTCCAACCTCCTCTACGTTGCGCATGGGCCTCCTTTTATATGCTCAAGGGGTCACCGACAGGTGGCAACGCAGACAAGGGTAAAAATGGAAAAAAAATTGTGGTTGGTACAACTACCTGTACAGTGTATCCTACCTAACCCTGACGGCAGGGGACAAAGGCATTAAATGCCCGTCTGCGTCGCCCAAACAGTGCAGAAAGGGACCGTCAGGGACGCCACCGCTCGCCACGATGGCAATCTTGTCAGCGTCGCTTGCCACCACGCACCGCTGGCTGCACAGCCTCTTGCCACGCGCGCCTGGGAAGGTCCTAGGGCGACACGTTGGTGGATGTGCTGGAGCGCGGGTACAGGGTGGTTACTTGTCGCGGCAAGCTCCTTGCCACGGTCGTTGTCTTGTCGCGCCCGGAAGCTTGTCGCTCACCAGGCCTTGCCGGGATGCGTGGCGCGTCGCGGCAAGTTCTTTGAGATGCCTTGGTTGGCCTTCCCGGCAAGCTCCTCTTGCCGGGGCCTTGTCTCCTTGGCTTGAATACTTTGTTCTTGAATGGCTCCAAGGGAACCACGGAGGACCTTGGCGGCCGCCCGGCAAGCCTTGCCGCGGGGTGCTACAACTGTCCGTGCACAAGTTCGGGATACTAGGGTACCCCTACTCTAGTACACCGACAGGAGCCCCCGGGCCTGGGCCACACACGGTGCCGAGCGCTGTTGGGCCAGGCCCAAAGCAGGGCACGGGCACGCGCGGCCTGGGTCACGCCGCATCTTACTCCGTATCCACCGCGCCCTCCCCCAACGGCACGCGTCGAATGCGGCGTCGTGGGAGAGATCGTGGGTGGTTTCTTTATTCAGAAAGGCGGAATGTCCGCCCCCTCCCTCTTTATAAGCAGGGGAAACAGGGGCGGTTCGCCCATCTCGCCGGTTGCTACTCCATTCTCGGAAATCTCTGCCGCTCCCCCCCCTTCTTCCCAAAGTCGAAAGAGAGCAGCGCTCCGCCTCCCATTGCCACCGGCACCACCGACGCCGTCGACCTCCCCCGCCACCTCCGCCATGGCTCTGAAAGCCGACAAGGGGAAGGGCGTGAAGTCAGCCGAGGCGCAGCGGCTCGCGGCGCTGCGAAAGGAGCGGGCAATCTTCCCCCCTCAGCTTGACGCGAAGGAGCTGAGGGAGTACTACTACCTTTTCTGGTCGACGGAGACGCGAGCGCATCCCCGCACGAAGGTACTCTCAGCTGCCGCTTCGGGACTGGCTCCGAGCGGATATCCCTTCTTCACGCTGTTCTTCTACTGCGGGCTTTGCCCGCCCTTCTCTGAATTTTTCTGTGACATCATGAACACCTACGGGTTCCGCCTCCTTGATTTCACCCCCAACGCCGTTCTGACCATGGCAGTTTTCGCACATCTCTGCGAAAACTTTGTCGGAGTCCATCCAAACGTAGCTCTTTTTCGCCACTTCTTTATGCCCCGAGTCGAGAGAGGGGAGCCCCTTGCCGGAGGAATCGCTTGGATCTCGAGAGTCGGCAAGAAGGAAGCCTATCTGGAGGGAGAGCTCCGCAGCAAGTGGGAGGAATGGAGAGCAGATTGGTGCTGGATTGTCGAGGAGAACCCGCAGCCATTTACCGCTCGGCGCCAAACCCCAATAGTACGCGGCAACGATTGGAGCAACGTGGCCCCGGAAGACGATAGGCTGAAGATTGCCGTCACCCGGATCTTACGCCTCAGGCTTGTCGGGCTCACCGTAGGCGCCGTTGGCGCAGATTTCCTTCACCGCCGCATCGCCCCCCTTCAGGAGAGGAGGAGACCCGCCTGGGAGTTCCAGAACTCGGCGGATATCATGAGGCTGCACCCAGGCCTCAACTTCAACTTCCCTGTCTTGGAGCTCGACGCAATGCTTCTGGAACTGTTCAAGCGCGATCCTCAACATCCGTTCATGCTGCCGAGGAGCGTCATTCCACTGTGCAACAATTCCTCGCTCGACCGCATCCGTGCAATGATGCCACTGTGTGATTCGCATGGAATCGTCCCAACTTGGCAAGAGCCTGCAGACGACGTCGTGCAGGAGTTCTTTGACAGCTTGGTAGAAGTGCCGGTCCGCCCCGATGAACAGAAGAGCCTCGCCCGCGACACCACGATGCGGAGATGCAGCGCATCGCCACTAGGCTGGAAGAGGCGGCGGCAGCAGCTGCCGCGGGCGAGTTTGGATTCACCGTGGAGGAGGCAGAGGCAGCAGAGGCAGCAAGCCTTGCCGAGCGAGAGGAGCTT